TTGTTTGTCTGCATCCAAGAAACATGCATTAACTTCAAGGATAGATATCACCTATGGGTAAAGGCTTGGAAACAATATTCCAAGCAAATGGACTCAAGAAGCAAGCTGGTGAAGCCATTTTAATATTTAGCAAGATAGGCTTCAAACCAAAAGTAATCAGGAGAGATGGGGAAGGATACTACCCACTCATCAAAGGAAAGAAACACCAAGAGGACATTCTAGTTCTTGAGATTTATGCACCAAACAAAAGGGCACCCAAGTTCATAAATGGAATATTACTTCAGCATAAATTATATACTGACTCTAAAACACTAATACTGAAAGTCTTCAGTACCTCTCCTTTGCTGACAGACAGGTCATCTATACAAAAACTAGACAGAGAAATGCTGAAGCTAACTGATGCTATCAACCAAATAGACCTACCATATATTTACAGAACATTTTACTCAAAGACAAAAGAATATACATCTGAGAAATTCATGGAACTTTCCTCAAATTGGCTACATTTTGACACAAAGCAAGTCTTAAGAGATACAATAAAACTGAAGTTACACACCACATCATATCTGGCCAGGAAGGCTTTGTCTTGTTTGCTTGGATTTTTTCACAAGCTCTCAGAAATCTCACATAGCTTCATTCATGGACTGTGTTCTCACAGTGTTTAATCACATCAACAGAAAAAAAAAACTAAGACAAAATGCAAATAACTTTTTAGGGCATGTGATTCCAAATTATGTCAGATGACAATGTCTACTTGTGCCAAAACATCTCTGTTATTATGTGGCTTTTCCTGGGGAGAGAGAAAGAAATGTCTTTCTCAGAAGGAGGGCATTTTGAGAAGGTAAAAAGGAGATGCTTCCCATGTCTTGTCTAATGAGCCAGTGAGTTTATTAATGTTTTATTAAAACTTTTTATTGCCCTCTGTTATTCCCTTTAGGCAGGCATGCAGCACATGAGGGTAGCTTAGCATCCTGGGTTTCCATTTGGTTTGGTTTTTACCTACACTCCTTTTCTGACAGTGCTCTGGGTAACCTAGGACCTTCCCTGCATGTAATATGCATGCAACCCCCCATTTTAAGACTTACCTACCATCTGAGAACATTACCCAGTCCCAGTGGGGCTGTATGAATTCCCCACTAGATATAATGTGTAGGATTCTCTGTCCTAACAACACACTATGATCTTAAACCCTTGTGTCTAGCTTCTATTCAGGTATGTGGGGGTATGGGAGTGAGGGGTAAATCACATGGACAGGCTTCCTTCCTCCATTTGTAAGCATCCATTGTAAGGACAAGGCAACTAGTTCTCCTTAATTCATCCATGGTTCTTTTGGTCTCTGTTCAATGCATCAATTGTATTGCATGATATTTAATGGGGAGACACTAATGAACACCTATTCACCCCATCTAGGTACACAGAAACAGACCAAAGAAACACCTTTCTAGTCTAGTTTTGCATGATTGAGTTTATTAGAGGGAGAGTTACTTACAGTAACATTGACTGATCAGAGGCTGCTTCATCCCTGAAAAACTCACCTCAGCAAGGCAATGATAGTCCACTTCTGCAGTCATGGTGTGCCCCCCATGATTTATGGGTGCCTCAGCTGGTCTGAAATTCTCATTCCTTCAAATGCATTTTATTTATTCCTGTACATTCTAAGACTTGTGATTTTTATTTATTTCCCGAGTCTGTTTTTATTTTATATGTAAAGTGTATCACATTTTGTGGTTTATATGTTTGCATGTGTGGGGGCATGTCAGGATTACGTTGGGTCTCCTCCTCAGTTAGTTTCTACATTTTTCATTAAGCCAAATTCTCTCACTGCATCCCAAGCTTGCAGATCTTCAGTCTGGGAAGCCAGCTTGCTCCATGCTTCCACTGTGTCTACTTCTGAGTGTGGAAGGACAAGGTGGCTGCTACACCCACACAGCATTTATGACAGTTCTGGAAAGTGAACTCTGGTCCTCACACATGCATGGCAAGTGCCTCCAACTTCCTGAGTTCATTCGAATGTTTTGATTATGGGGGAATAGGTACAAAACATCTATCCAAATCTTTCCTGTATCTGACAAGAATTTGTATCAACTACAGCTGATAGTAGACATTCCCAATCTGTGGTGTCACCCTATTGAAGGTTGCCCATGGATTTAATAATTCTGTCACATAAGGGTTATGGAGACCATATGAAACAGCGACTCCTTAATTCCCTTAAGGTCTTTTAATTATATGGGTTCCCATTGATAAGCCATCTGGCCATTTGCATGCCTTTTGGGGGGTGCTTTTTCTATCATAGTTGCTGGGAACACCATTGGTGAATTCATAACAACCTTAGCAAAATTTTCCCGATGTTTGAATAGATTAGGTGCATCACAATGGGAGAAGTCTGTTTCTATGTCATCCATAGCCTGTAGACTGGCAACCATAGCATAGTCTCATGTAGAGACTGAATCTCAACAGTCATGTGGGATTCTAAGAATTTCATAGAATTAGTAAGTTTCCTTATTTTTCATCTATAATTGTTTGTAACCTCTAATATTTTCATACTTAGATAGTATTTGAATGGCCTGTGTATTGCCTTCTAAATAGCCAATCCTAGACTCCAGCTTTTGGTCTGTGGCAGTAGATTCTTCAGCGAAGGATTTAATTGCTGATGCTAGTTGGCCAATCCTGTCTCAGTTCTTAGCTATTTTTGCATCCAAAGCATGAGACATAAGACATATTTTGATTTCTATTTGGCCATCAGTTTTTTCTATCTGTGTTAGTAATGTGGTATGGCCAGACTGTGTTTTCTCAACTTCTTTATGTAAAAGTTCCATGTCTTCTACTTCAGAATGAAATTTTCCTGACTGGCTTTTATATCCTTCATCCAATTTGCTAAGCTGTCTGTTTCCCTGTGTCTCAATTCTTGGTTACAGATATCATATGGACTATAAAGCTGACTGCTAATGTAGCATATAGGTACATCACTGACAAGTCATAAGCCTCCTCTATCATTGAATTCTTGTAAGTAGCAAGAATATTCCCAATTTTGTGCATTGTCTGGTATTCAGCCTTTCTGCCAGTTTACCTGTACTGTTGCTTTCCAGCTGCAGTACTGAATTTGACCAGCAGGTGGCACAGGTGCCCGGTTTTGATGACGCATGTTCAACTGCAGAGGTGAAGTCCATCTCAAGCCTAACCGAAAAATATCTGAACGATTTTCGGACCAAGTTAGAACGGATGGAAGGGGTTTGTTGTTATTAGCAGAAAAGGCTTTGGAAAACCTGCAGGGCTGTAGCTAGCCACTGCATTGAGCAGTATGGGTTCTGGGTGCCAGGGGATGACTCGAGACACCAAGGCTTAGTCTCTTTAGTGAGCAGCAGCTGGCTGCAGCACTTGGTCTGCAAGCAGCAGCAGCAGCAGGTTTGCAGGCCTGTGGGGAGTGAAAAAGGAACTCTACTGCTTGGGCTGAGCATATGGGGAACCACACTGCTGCACGCCAGGAACTATGTACAGCGGCTGCAAAGATTAACATGGAACAGGAGGAGCCTTGGGTTTCTAAAAATGGAAGAAAACTGCGGAAAGCACAGGGCAGAAAGTTTATAGCCAGAAACTGGAAGCAGCCTAGATGCCCCTCAACCGAAGAACGGATAGAAAAAATATGGTACATTTACACAATGGAGTACTACACAGCAGAAAAAAAAAAACAATGGAATCATGAAATTTTTAAGAAAATGGATGGAACTAGAAGAAACCATTCTGAATGAGGTAACCCAATAACAAAAAAACAAACATGATATGTACTCACACATATGTGGATTTTAGACATAGAGTAAAGGATTACCAGACTAGAATCAACACTGCCAGAGAAACTAGTAAACAAGGAGGACCCTAAAAGAGACCAACATTGTCCCCTGGAGAGGGGAAAGGGTCATGATCTCCTGAGCAAATTGAGAAAATGGGAAGAGGGGGGAGGGAGCTATGAGAATGAGAAAGGAAGAAGAGGAATTCAGAGGTCGTGAGGGAGCAGAAAGTTTGAGTCAGGTGTAGATTAGAAGAAAGGATATGTGAACGGTAGGATTTTACTTTGAGGGGTGGTAGGGGAGGAAGGGAGGGAGGAGGGAAGTGGGATTGTCATGTAATTCAATCATGTTTCTAATTCAAATAAAACAATGATAAAAAATGGAAAGAAAATGTGTTCGGTCTGGACAGTGGAGAGGGCTGAGCAGGGTCTTAAACGACTGGAATGGGATCACAAGTTGGGGTCAGAAAACGCCCTTGGGTTGGGAGACTGACTGGGAGGAATGAAAGCCCCAGGCAAATGCAGCAGCGGTGGCATGCTCCTCCCAGCACAAACAGTACTGGAGAGAACTGGAGCAATTAGTGTCATGGGCGTTTCTTGGCAATGATGTTGGTAGAGAAAGGTGAAAGGTTTCCCTGGTGTTAAAGTGGCTGGAGAATAAATCTCTCCAAAGGTCACCACCCACCCGTGGGTTCAGAATCAAAACTACTCCTAACACCAGCTACTGAGGAACACAATGGAATCAGAAGTAGATTGATCATAGATAGTTTATTAAGAAAGTACTCACACAGCAGTGACAGTGACCAGGTTTATACCAAATGACTGCTCATCCTTTCAGGAAGTTTGGAGAGGTAAAAGAGAGACACTTGCATGCATCTCTGATATTTAAAGCCTTGCTACATAACTCCGACCACACCCAAGTAGGTGTGGTCAGCGGCACCTGTGGCAGCCCCCAAAAAGTTTGGTCAGCAATTTCCCCTACAGTTTCCTGTGTGTGCTTGCACATATTTGCATGTCATATATTGTGTTTCTGTGTGTGTGTGTGTCTGTGTGTGTGTGTGTGTGTGTGTGTGTGTGTGTGTGTGTGTGTTCAAGTATGCAGGAAGTGTGGAAAGAAAGAGAAGGAGGCAGAGCAGTGAAGAGGGATTTGGGTTTTCCAACCCTATCATATTGAGACACAAAGTACTCATATTTAGTTTTTCCCGTGATGGAAATGATTTGGCTAGTGTAAAGAAAATATACAGAGGGGGAAATTTATCTACTGATTCCTGGTATTTGATGTTCATGTTCAGTAGCTGTGGGTGAAGTGAGTTTGAACTAATTTTTTGAGTATGTCTCTCTAAGGAGAACTTTGGCATCTTCAGTCACCGTGTCAAGGAAGATATGATGCAAGTAAAAGGTTTTCCTAAAGTAAAGACCTGTAGCAAGAGGCCCACCAGTAACTGCGGCAAATTTCTCAACATATTTCAACAACATTTCTCTTGATGTTTCTTCTTTCTTGGTTCCCAACAAATGAGGAGATTTAATGTTTTTTTTCAGTTGTTCAACAGACACTTTGAAATCCTTAGCCATGAGTTCCAGGGATTCATCATCCACTCCAAAGACGACTTGATAGTGGTTTAACTTCACCTTCAGCTTCTCCACATCATCCCTGAGGATGCCCACTGCAGGAATAGTAGCCAGAAGTCCAGACTTGTAGGCTTCCATCCAGATATGCTGCTGGAGGGCCTCACGCTTTCTGTCAATGGCTGCCTCTGTAATATTACTAATGGAAAGTGTAAAATTATGGCGTTTCTGAGCAGGAAGATCCTTTATCAGTGAATCCATCAGGACTTGAAAATCATAGTCAGACAAATCACTGTTTGAAATCAAAAAAATCTGTGGTACATCCATTTTATTTTGACTAAAGGCGTTCTCACAGTAGCTTCGGATATTCTGCAGGGTCTTTTTTCTGTCAAATGTACGTGGTTTGCTATACCTTTCATTGTCTAAATCAATGTCTACCTTGGTTCTCACAAAGTAGTAATTCTTTTTCATAGATCTGATTGCTTTGGCAAGGTCTAGTTCAAGTTTTGTAAAACGTGTGGCAGAAATAATAACGAAGAAGTCATACTCTTGGAATTTCATTCTCTTCAGATAATCTTCTGGAGGAAATCTATTAGTTCCAATGCCGGGCAGGTCCCATAAAATCAAACTTTTAATTTTGGGGTGTTTGTATGGAGTTCTCACCATAGTCATCTCTACTACTCCAACTGCAGCTGCACCTTTATCTTCTGGTCCAACCCGCCTCAGGGCATTGATGAAGCTGGACTTCCCTGCTCCAGACTCTCCTGTCACAGCAATGTTTATTGGGGCACTATCAATATTTTTTAATGCATCACTGATTACAGAGTTTGCCCCCCGAATGTCTCCTTTTTTCAAATGTAACTCAATGGAACGGATGGTTTCCTGAGAAATGATTTGGTTTTCTCTTTTCATCTTCTTAAAATATGCAGTGAAACTGGGCACCAAATCTCCATGGCCTTCATCTTTAGCTGTTTCAGAGGAGGACTGACCCATGATTGTGATTTTTAAGTCCCTGAAAGAAGGAAGGAAGAATAAGTTGCAAGAGATCAAAGGTGCTTTTGTGCTTAGCATTATGTTCCTTCACTATGTTTCAGCCTTAGTTACATTTGATATTGACTAGTTCCCATATATGTGCTGATATTTTTTCAACCAGATACAAACTATAGTCCTTTTGGTTGAGATAGTTTCATTTGAGGAATTGCCCCATGTGTTTGGACTTGGGGAATGCCTATGGAGCGTTTTGTTGCTTGAGGATTGATGTGGGAGGTCCCATCCTACTGTGTGTTGTACCACCCTTGGCCTGGTGGTCCTGGATAATTGAGAAGGCATTATGGAACTATGAGGAGCAAGCCCTGTAAATAGCATTCTCCCATTTTTCCTTTCTCTACTTCTATAGAGTTTCTGCCCTGACTTGCCTCAGAGTGGATTGTGATCAGAATGTGTAAGCCCACAATATCATTTTCTTTTCAAAATGTCTTTGGTCCTGATGTTTATAAAAGCAATAGAAAGGAAACTCAACAGAAAGGAAACTAGAGCAAATTTCTACTAGCTCTCAATTAAACCCTTAATTATGAAAAATGAAAATTCAAGTTAAATAAGAGAAAATTATATAAAAATTTTCGGGACTCCTTAGCCAGCATCAACAACTACAAAAACATGAACCACTGTGTTGCCACTACCATGACTGAATATTGTATATAAATCCAAGATATCTTCTCCATCTGTGCACATGTCTAGTATGTGTTTTCAAATGATTGGAAACTTAACATAGTCTAACTTTGTACACTGAGAAATCAATTATAATGAATGATAATTGACATTACTTTTTAATTGATACCAAATCTCTTTAATTAACACTTAAATCTATTTTATCTCTTTCATTTAATTTTTCAAAATTTTTAGTAAGTTCAGCTTTTGTGTTTTGTTGAAATAATTTTGTATTTGCCTAGATTTACCTTCCTTATATCCTCTACATGTCTTGGAGCTCATCTCCATAAAGAATATAAATTAGCAATGATATAAAATTTCTTTTCCCTTAAAGTCAGTGTTAAAATCCATTTCTTGAATCCCCCATAGAAGGTTTCACCCTCACTGGGAAGCAGAAAGGGAACAGATGAGGGGACTAGTGGGGGGCAGGAGAGGGAGAGAGAACTGGGATTTACATGTAAAACAAGCTTGTTTCTAAATTTTTTTTTAAAAAAAATAAAGTTCTTCCAAAAATTCCATTAGTTCAGTGCAATATTTCAGTGTTCTGAATTACTCATTTAGATTCACTGTTTTCTTTCAAACATTTTTTTATGAATGCAATCTAACTGTTTAATGTAGATACTGGTCAATTGGTAGAGATCATTCCCATCATAAATAAGGCCTTGGCTTCAATCATAAACATTTTATTAAATTCATGTGTTTGCAGATTCTTGAAATTCTGGCGATCAGGAAGTGGAACTATGTGGGTCAGTACTTCAATATCATTCTTGGTACAGAGTGAGTTAGAGGCTAACCTGGGCTACTTGGGACCCTGTATCAAAAATGAGTTTCATGTCTAATAGGATGTTTCAGCAGTGAAATTACACTGGCCTCCAGGCTTAACCACCTGAGTTCGATTGTTGGGTATTTAACTAATTCAGATCTCATATTTCTAACTTTATTTGGCAGCACATTGGACCTTACAATTAGTTAAGGAAACAACAAATCCCATTTCACCATGGAGCCTCCTCTGTCTTCTCACCCCTATCAAATCAGTTCACAGACTTAAGCTGGATTTCCAAATCCAATTGCATTTGGTCATTCCAACTACATTACCTTCTTCAAGATCTTCTCAATCCCAACTTTGATGTCATTGACATTACTATTTTTCCTGTGACTCTTCTTGCAATAACATGGATGACTAAACTGGCAGAGTTATCCTATTGACACTGAAGTCATGCCATGTCAACTGAAGTCTAAGAAATACTGTAAGGATCCCCATTTCACTCAGGGAAAGTTCATTAGGTATGCAGTGCATTAAGTTGTGCTTCAGTTAGGCAGGCTTCAGCATTGACATACCCATTGGGAAATAAAATTCAAACTGGAGGTCAGAGGGTAATTCCAGTCTTACTACATTCAAAAGGAGTGGGTGCCAAGAGTCTGCGGAGATAATAAAAATAATCTAACACAAAAGAGGGATCTCGAGGGAGGAGCTCCCTGAATCTAGGTACAGGACACTCTTCCTTCCCCTTCCGCCGACTCATCACAGACCAGACCAGAGTCCTCATCCAGTGGCTGATGGAAGCAGAGACAGACATCCACAGAAATACACTGAGCTGAAATCTGGAACCTAGTTGAAGAGAGGGAGGAATGAAGAACGAAGGGGTCTGTACCAGGTTGGAGAAACCCACAGAAACAGTTGGCCTGAAAAAGGGAAAGCATGTCGACCCCAGATGCTCTTTGGGAGGCCAGTACCGGACTAATCCAGCCCCCTGATCATGGATGCCATCGGGGAGGCCCCTGCACTCCTGGGAGCCTCTAGAGGTGGACTGGCTTTTTGCCCTGGTATATGTGGGGGACTTCGAGAGCCCATCCCACTTGAAGGGATGCACTCTGTCTCTGAACACATGGGGAGGGACCCAGGCCCAGCACAGGAAGATTTGGTGGACTTGGTGGAGCCCCGGTTGGGGGCCCTACCCTGCCTGGGGAGTGGT